ACACGGCCAAAGAGCCCGAAAAACCCAAAACAGCCATCAGATCCCGACCGTGAAAGCCTTCGAGAATAAATGAAAATTATAATTTGATGGTTCAACAGATACCTTCATAGCATGCCACAGCTCATGGGCATCATAGGATGCCGGTGGATACATCAGGCCAACCATAACATCCTTGAAGTGATGAGAGGGAATCTCTTTCAGGTCTATCAGCAAATCCTTGGAAACAAAATTACAATTATGATTCTAATCATCCTTCATGAAGAACTTGGTCCTTGAAAGCAGACACACAGCACATTCATTTGTGTGAGGTACAAGAATGGTGATATTACATACTAGCTGTAATTTTTTCTTAAGCTAAAGCAGGAGGATTGAAACTTCATTATACTTCACAACCCCATGTAGAAAACTATTTTATCTTGTACACTAAGGTAAGGAGATAATCAGTATTTAAAATCAAAGTACTGAAGCCATGAGAGCTCAGGGTGCATCATAAAGTTCTTTAGAGCAGTGGTCCCCAACCTTGGGCCTCCAGATGTTCTTGGACTACAACTCCCAGAAGCCTTCACCACCACCTCTGCTGGCCAGGATTTCTGGGAGTTGAAGTCCAAGAACATCTGGAGGCGCAAGGTTGGGGGCCACTGCTTTAAAGAATTCTCTCTGTTCCAATAGTAATAAACTGATGCTGCAGAAAGTTGTCCAATCAATTACATAACCACCAATAGTGGAGGTTCAAAAGGGGGTGCCTAATTGTACAGAAATAGGATGAGATAATCCACGACACTTGTACAATAGACTGCCAGTGACTTACACATGTGTGGTGTGGAACACTAGATTTTTGACCAGGGAGTCTTGGTTCAAATCTCTTTGAACTCGTGACACACCCTCTCTCCGCCCCCCCACCAACTAATTTCATAAGATGCTCATGAGGCCAAAAGCCTGGGTATATTATCTTTGATTAGAAAAAGAATCAGTACTTCTGAAAATAACTAAGAGAGATATTTATGCTTGTACTAATGGTAAAACATGGCTGTTCTTGGCAAGTATTTGCCATATGTTTCAGAGACTAGTTAGCCGCAGGCTCTAGTTAGCATTATCCAAGTTTAACACTGGAGACATCACACTGAACTGTAGTCAGGAGCAGCAGGGAAGCCCTTATGAAGGGAGGCGCTTTTGGAGTAACATCTGCAGCCTCTTAACCATAGTGATGTCTGTGCTAATCCTCCTGTGAACTTCAGTGATATGTTGGACATTTGCCTGATATGTTATTAGTGACTCAAATACCTAGGATAGAAATTATTTCCCAAATGTTTTGCTGAAAGGAAGCAGTTCAAATAATACACTGGGATATATTGCATAGGTGTGGATATGGGAGTTGTAGGCCCAAACTTCTGGACAGCCACAATTATCCATCCTTGCTTCACATACAGTGGTGCCTCGCTTAACGGGTACCCCGTTTAACGATAAAACCGCATAGCGACAAAGTTTTTGCAATCGCTTTTGCAATCGCTTTGCAATGTTTTAAATAGGTAAAAATCGCTTCGCGATGATCGGTACCCTGTTTCGCTTACCGATCATCGCATAGCGATGTGTGTTTTTTTACAGCTGACCGGCACTTCCAAAATGGCCACCGGGTTAAAAAAAAAGGCCGCCCGCTGTTTTCTGGGATGGATTCCTCACTTACTGGGCAGCGAAAATGACCGCTGTATGGAGGTTTTTCACTTTAAGGTGAGTTTTAAGCCCATAGGAACACATTGAAGGGGTTTCAATGCATTCCTATGGGCTTTTAAATATCGCATAGCGACGAAATTGCTTTGCAGCGATTTTTGCTGCGTGGATTATCGTCGCTATGTGGGGCACCACTGTATATAGTTTATTCAGCATGGGGATGCTCATTGAGAAGCCTGCTTCCATGTATAACTAATTTTTACTGAATCGGGGTGTATACCCTCTTCTTTAACCAGCATTTGTCTTGCTTAGATCATCATCACAAGGGGATAGTTCCTTCAGTGCAACTTGAATTTAAGTGCTTCTTTGTGAATTATGTATGATTACTTTTTATTACCAAGGGATCTAACAATAAAGGGGCAATATAAACTATAAATGAAATATAGCACAGTTAATGCAAAAGCTGCTCTCAGAAGGCGAATAATTAAAGGTAACCACAGGCCCTATGAATGTAATTAACATAGCAGACAGCACAGCGATGAGGGAAGAGACATACAAATTAAAAATGAATTTATGATGAAGAAACAATATGTAATCTTTGCTGAATGCACATTAGATACATTTGACAGCCACTAAATCACATGTGGAATAGAAATTAATTCATTAAGACATTTGCAGCTGACAGCGTGCCTCTAGGAAAACTGATTAATAATACAAATGGAGACTAATTAAAAATTACCCCTGCAATTGGCAAGAGGGTAAATGGAGAAAAGCAGTGAAAAATAAGACAAGACAACCCTGAGTTGTCATTATTAACATTTTCTAATTATTTTGGCCATGAGAAATCAGCATGGTGCAATTGTAAGATGGCATCTCGGACAGCTTTGTGTGGACATGTCTATACCACAGAACCGCCTCAGATGATCTATTAATGGAAAATCAGCTTGTATCTGATTTGGCTTTCTCCATGTAATCCTTTTGAATTAGAATTCATTCTAATGTTATGATGATCAACTTCCGTTATGATTGGTTTTAGAAATGAAAGTGGAAATGCTGATTGGCTTTATCATTTTTTCTCCATAACCTGTGCAAATAATAGGCTCGAAGGGATAAAAATTAAAATTGGATTCAAACCCCAAATGAATATGAGGCAGCAATAAAATAACATACTAAATGTGATTTTCAAGGTACTTGAGCTGCTATTCTGGCAAAACAGAATTGTAGGTCCTAGTGTTCCTGCTCAAATGACATTTTACACTTATTCCATCTATTCTTCCTTTATGGCTTTTTCCCTGATTATGGAAAAAGTAAAAACTAATGGGGAAAAACTGAAAGATTGCAAAGAGAAGGCATCATCTCATGGCCCTGTAAAAGTAAATACAGAGTGACTGCAGAATAAAAGCTCTGTGTGAGAGTGCCTAACCTACATGATGTATGCATCCTAATTCCATTCACATTGATGCAGGAGCAGGGACGCAATCCTAATTAGATGACGTAGCTGAGGGTAGCTGTGCTGACAACTGTGCTAAAGCTTGGCTGAATTTAAACCCTTTCCAGCCTAGGGATGCTGAAATTATTTAGGACTATCTTCACCTTGGCCTCCGAAGTCTAAATGCGGCACAATGCAACTCCATTCCTACCCCACCCATTTTGGCTCTTTTGCTGGATGATATACCACAGCTAGACCTCTCTGCATCAGAAAAACTCAGTCTCCAGCTGGCACTCATGAGATGATAGAGATGAAGGTGGGTCCTGGGTTCTCTAAATGTAGATCAGGGGATTCAGTCCCTCCAGATAAGAGGGGCTCAGTAGCAGACACTGAAACTGAATGTCTCTTAGCTCCTAGGGAGAGGAGGCAGCTAAAGATACAGGACTGCTGGGTCCAGTTGAGGAAGAGTGTGAGACTGCTGTGAAAGACCCTTGAGAATAAAGTTCTCTAAGCAGTTACAGGTATGAACGGGAGTCTCCCAGCTGTTACTGCAAACAAATGCTGTGTGCTCTGACCAGCAACTTCAACTTCCCTTTGTTACCTAATCTCAGTGCTCTTAAATTCCTGTTTAAGTGACATTCAGGCAGCCTGACCTTGAAACTCTACTGACTTATTTTCTGGCTACTCTTTGCTTGGACGTGTGACCTGGTAGGACTCTGATTTATGATGCAAACTTGGCTTCTGTTCTGAGCAGCCTTTCTGTCTGCTCCCTTGAATTGCTTGTTCCTGTCTCTTCCATGCACTAACCTAGTCTAGGTTTTTGGACTTTTCCCAATACCCCTGGGAATTCTTCTCTGGCCTGCATTCTTCTCTGGCATACTTCCAAGCTAGCTAGGCACTTATAGGCAGAAACTAGCACTGTAAAAACAGAACATGAGATTAGACAGGCCTTTGGTATGATTCAGCAATGCCTTAACTTTGTTTTTAAGAGAGATCCAGTTAGGTAAATGCAAATCCCTTGAACCACATGAAGTAGTATTTTAGACTGTGATTTACATGGCTAGTCTGGTTGTCAATGGCCTGATTCATCCTTTCAGGCTAAAGATGTCATGAAAATGTTTCTTCTTGTTTTTAGTATGGTGAAGGATTTTTTTTTGTTTGTCTTCTCGAAAATTTGTTTCTGTAAACACTCAGTCTTTACTATAGTAATTGTCATCCTAAAAAGTAGAAGCATTGGATCAATTGTTTCTGATCTTAAAAACAGTTGGCCTGTCCTTTTTTTGTTGGTATTATGCAGATGCTCATCTTTACAAAATGGAAAGACTCCAGAGACATTTTGCACAAGTTCTGCAAAACACCAGACAAGAAATGCACTTGGTCTCCCACTCTCACACTTGTTATTATGAGATTTCTTAGAGGGATCTGAAAGTCCCAGACGAACTGTCTCATTGCATCAAGACAGCTGTCTCATCTGTGAATAAGATTAAGGTTAAAATTCTTTGCATTCCTATGTGATGGTATGCCAAGTCCCCTATAATATAATATGTACAGTGGTGCCTCGCTTAGTGATGTTAATTCGTTCCAAAAAAATCACCGGTAAGCGATTTCATCGCTAAGAGAAATGCGGTTTCCCATTGAAATGTATTGAAAACCGGATAATCCGTTCCAATAGGAACGAATTGCCGTCCTTAAGCGAAAATCGCCATAGGAAACATCGCTAAGCGAAACGCGGTTCCCCAATTGAAATGCATTGAAACCTATCTCAATGGGGAAAAAAAATACAGCAACAAATTAAAAGAGTCAGAACAAAGTCAAATTTGGTTAACAAATTTGGTTAACAAATGGTGCACTTTATGATTTCAAACATTTTAAACAGTAAACCTTAACTTTATAAATAACAGAAAAACATTTAAAAAACAGCAAACATGAGGCTGTTTAAACCATCGTTAAGCGAAACAGGGACCCAAAATTTAATCGCTATGTGAAGCATGGTCCCAACCATCGCTAAGCGGAAATCGCCCATAGGGACCATCGCTAAACGAAGTGCAAAAACACTCTGAAAAAGTCATCGCTAAGCGATTTCATCGCTAAATGGAGCACCCGTTAAGCGAGGCACCACTGTACAACTTATGAGTGTGTAAGAAGAAGAGACTGAAAACTACAGACAAGGACAAAAACATAATAACTTACTCTGCTGTACATATTACTGTAAGCTTCAGCAATCACGAGGCGTTGTGCATTGCAGCGCTGTGTTAGAATATCAATCAGTATATCTTTGTCACAATCTTCAAGAGAAAGAAAAAATGATTTTACATTGGTGAGCAGTTACTTTTATCATACTGTGGTCAGTGATTACTGTGTTTTGCTGCAGGAAAAATATTTAACAAATGAATATCCCCTTGGAGTTTACAAACACTGGTGGTTTTTACAGTACTTATGCACCTTTGACTTATTGGTGTGCTATTGACAAACAGTACCATCATCAGATATGTTGCTATATCTTTCAAGGGCAACAGACATGAGCACATCAAGAGAAAGAAGAATGGCTTTCAGTGAGCAATTCTTAGTCACTCTGTAAAGATTTATATATGTTTGTGTATGTTGTTTTCACATTCATCAAATACTGATTAAATCTTTATGTCAGTGTTGTTGACCTCCAATTTTAATGCCTACTTACAACTGGATTACTTATTGCAATTGAATATGAATATACATGTGTATAAAAGGACTGTGTAATAAATTATTGCCCCTTCACGGATTGCTGCCTTGTCATGATGAAGGGGCTTGAGTAATTCAGAGAAGCTATGGGCTATGCTGTGAAGGGACACCCAAGATGGACAGGTCATAGTGGAGAGTTCTGACTAAACGCAATCCACCTGGAACAGGAACCAGAAAGCCACTCCAGTATCTTTGCTGAGAAAACTCCATGGACAGAAACAAAAGGCCAAAAGATATGACACTGGAAGATGAGCCCCTCAGGTCAGAAGGCATCCAACAGAAGAGCAGAGGACAAGTACAAGTAACTCCAGAGCTAATAAAGTGGTTGGGCCAAAGCTGAAAAGATGCTCAGCTGCAGACGTGCCTGGAAGCGAAAGGAAAGTCCAATGCTGCAAAGAAAAATACTGCATAGGAACCTGGAATGTGAGATCTATGAACCTTGGTAAGCTGGATGTGGTCAAATAGGACATGGCAAGAATAAACATTGACATCCTGGGCGTCTGTGAACTAAAATGGACGGGAATGGGTGAATTCAGTTCTGACAATTATCATATCTACTGTATTTTTCACACCATAAGACGCACTTTTCCCCCACAAAACAGGGGGTGTGTGGAAAGTCTGTGCGTCTTATGGAGTGAAGAAAACAGATTATATTTTCCTGTTTTCTTCTCCTAAAAAATTGGTGTGTCTTATGGAAAGGTGCGTCTTATGGAGCGAAAAATACGGTACTACTGTGGGCAAGAATCCCGTAGAAGAAATAGAGCAGCCCTCATAGTCAACAAAAGAGTGGGAAAAGCTGTAATGGAATACAATCTCAAAAATGATAGAATGATGTCAATACAAATCCAAGGCAGACCTTTCAACATCACAATAATCCAAGTTTATGCACCAACCACCATTGCTGAGGAGACTGAAATTGAACAATTTTATGAAGATTTACAACACCTTCTAGAACTGACACCAAAGAAAGATGTTCTTCTCATTCTAGGGGACTGGAATGCTAAAGTAGGGAGCCAAGAGATAAAAGGCACAACAGGGAAGTTTGGCCTTGGAGTTCAGAATGAAGCAGGGCAAAGGCTAATAGAGTTTTTTCAAGAGAACAAGCTGGGGGAAGCTGTGCTGGGATACAATTTCAAAAATGATAGAATGATTTCAATACGAATCCAAGGCAGACCTTTCAACATCACAGTAATCCAAGTTTATGCACCAACCACTGATGCTGAAGAGGCTGAAACTGACTAATTCTATGAAGACTTACTGTATTTTTCCATGTATAAGATGCCCCTTGTATAAAACACCCTCCATTTTTCTAAATCAAAATATCTTTCTTTGCAAGAAGGTAGAGGGAGGAAGCTCCTGTTTTCCCCCTACATTTTCGTTTCAAAAAGCAGCTTATCCCATCCAGGTTTTGCAATGAAAATGTAGGGGAAAGTAGAAATCGCTTTCCCCCTGCATTTTCTTTCCAAAACCTGGAGGCAGAAAGCTTCTTTTTGAAACAAAAATGTAGGGGGAAAGCAGAAATCGGTTTCCCCCTGCATTTTCTTTTCAAAACCTGGAGGAAGAAACAGGGATCAAAGGACTTTGATCCCTCCCTCCTCCTTACTTCCGAATATAAAACAACCCTCAAATTTTCCTTCAATTATTTTAGGAAAAAGTGTCATTTTACATACAGAAAACTACGGTACAACACCTTCTAGAACTGACACCAAATAAATAAGTTCTTGTCATTATAGGGGACTGGAATGCTGTCTTTTCATGATACGCCTAAAATAAAACAGCCTAACTTTAACATCTCTTGCTTTTAGAAACAGTTCAGACTCAACTTCATCCAGCACACACTTACAGTGGGGTCTTGACTTAAGAACGGCTCGAGTTAAGAACATTTTGACTTAAGAACCACTCTCATAGGAAAATATTGACTTGACTTACATACTTAGATTTGAGTTAAGAACTAAAAAAACCCACGTGGGAGGCAGGGAAAGTGCAAAATTTGAACTTTCAGTTAACTGTTGGCCAGTGAAAAGGGTGCCTGTCTGCTTCCTCACTCCTCCCAGCGTTTAGAGAGTGGATTGGGAGACAGTCTTCAGACTAGAGTGGATTGGGAGACAGTCTTCGGACTGCCTGGTACTGTACTGCCTGGACTGTATTTTCCCTGCCTTCCCTGAACCTTTCTTGACCTAAGAAAAAAAGAAACAAAATATCCCCCTCTAGTGGTCGAAGGTGGAATAGCAGCGTCCCATTAGTTTCTATGGACGGAAAAGAGCAGATACGGATCAAATGGTTTTCAATGCATTCCTATGGGAAATGCAGACTTGACCTGAGAACCTTTTGACTTAAGAACCGCCTTCCAATACGGATTAAGTTCTCAAGTCAAGACCCCACTGTATTTGTCTTTCTGGTAGACCAGAATGCTCTCTTCAAACACAAGAGCTTCTGGTTTTCCCTGTCCCTTTCTACAATGACAGGAGCAGTAATTGCTGTATTTTGTTTCCAAGTCAAAGTGTGTCCCAAACATAATTAAGTGGTCCTAAATTCATCTTTTAACATTTCTGACGCTGGATCTTCAAACCGAGTTTTGAATTTGGGGAGTTAAAAACATTGTGGAAGAATTGTGGGATACTAACTTTGAGATGAAGCTCAGAAAGAAGGTTGGACCTTTTTATTACAATCTTAGTTTTATTTTACACAATACCAGCATAGTATTCCTGAGGAACTTTTAGTTCAATGCATTAATTTTTACAGCATATAATTAAAACTCTGCATTTTCTTTGGAAAAAGTATTGAAGAAGAAAAATTTTTTTTACAAAAGCTCTTGCTGAATTTTATATGTTCTCAACACACTATAATTTCCTCAAACGATAGTGTTCAATCTCATTTTTCTATTGGCTTCTTTTGATGATAAACACTTTTTTTAGCTAAACCTTTGGTGCTAGGAGCTTGTATGTCAAGTATGTTTAAGAACAGGACAAAGTAGAGGATATCTTCCAAATTTAAAAAAACAAAAATATTTTGGCACATTGTAGACTAACTGCTATATTTTGATGTGAACTTTTGTGTACAAGCCCACTTCACCATACAGAAGAGGATATTTCTAAATTTTGTTTAATCTACATACCTGTTCCTTGCAGAGCTCCACCCAGCATTTGGGCATCCAGAACAGGGTCAAAATTTGGAGCTGGGAAGATTGTCCCCTGAATCTGTTGAGAGATAAATAACATTCACTCATAAAATGGTGAGTTTTAAAAATGCCTTGAAACATTCTCCAAATGTTTTAATCCAGCTGTCACCAGGTCTAGTTAGTATGGTCTGACTGTTTTTCTGGGGTATCAGAGCTTCCCTACCTTTGTAGTAGCCAGTCTAGGAGCTTTTTCTTTCAGTATATGGATGAAGGCAGATATAATACTTTCATTGTAGCAGATGGGATTTGTCTTTTATAATGAAGCAGTGTGCAATTAACCAAGATTGCCAAAATTCTGAACTGACAAAGCTATGATCCTTTGGGACTAGATAATACACAGCTGAGAGGGACTACTGAGTAGAAAAGGGAAAAAAATGTAGCCTAATACTCTATTGTGAAATACTGCATGTGTAAGCAAAATTCCACAAGTGGCTCTCACAGTGTTTGACTGCCTGTCATTATCAAGCTGTGCAACTGTGGGCACAGTAAGGGTGTGTCTCAGCATGCTATAGATAGCTTGAATTACTGTATTGTACACACTAGTTATGCAGCTTTGGCTTTATTGTTGCACAGACCCAGTAAGGTTCTGGCCATGGCGGGATGTGCTTTGAAGGCCCATTTAGAAAATCTCTAAGTTACTGCATCTGTTTCTCAGACAGTGAAATCCTCACTACTTGTACCTGGTTAGTGGGACATTTTTAAGCAAACACCTCCCTACCTGTCTGGAACTAAAATGATAATCAAGTAGTTATGGAAAATTTTCCTGTGCTTTAATTGTATTTATTGCATTATAATTTTATTCTCACTTTACTTTATGGTTTTTGATTTTCACCCCTATATATCATGCTATTTTGTTACTCTGTTGTTTTTCGTTATTTGTTATAAACTGCCCAGAGTGGCCTTGCTGCCAGATGGGTGATGTATAAATAAAATAAAATAAATGGTTTGGTAGTGACTGAGACATAGACCAAAGGGCAAGGGAATCAACACAGATATTCATTAAAATGGTAAATCCTAATGAATTAATCTCCATGTTATTGTAAATATTAGCTTTTACACTAACATTGGGATTCTTTTCAGTTGATCATTTATGCTTGATCTTTCCATAAAAAGCTCAAATGCATCCAGTCATCTACAAGTGAAAGATAAATGTTTTAAGTGCTTGTTAACATCTTTGTCATTTGGGATGCTTTCAAATGCTGTGTCCTTATATTGAGCCACCTTTGATAATGCATTGGAAGCTAATTGAATAAGTCTTAAATTCAGAATAATTTGGTTATTCTTTCTTCTTCTTGCCAGCACAGAAGTCATATGTCATGAAACAAGTATCCCAAAATCAACAGTAGTCAAGGTTAACACCTTGATTGTAAAGTCTGAAAGACTGGATTAAGTCTGATGTGTCTATCCATCCCAATATATAACTCTGATGTAAGCTTTACAGGATAGTTGAATGATGACTAACATCTGATTCAACACATTTACCCTTGTGTTATAGGTGCATAACTGTTATTAGGTTCTGTGCAATCTAAAGGTACCCCACCCTACCCCCATTATGGAAGGATAGATGTGCAGTCATTTCAGTGATAGCCAGTTACAGCTGAAGAGGCATCATTGTTCAGTTATATATTACATGCTTTTCAAGTGGAAGGTCTCAGATTTAACCCCTAGTATCCCCAGTTTAAAGGACTTCAGGACAGGGAAAGATCTTGGCTTGAAATCTGGAAAAACCACTGTCAATCAGAGTTCACAGCAGTGGGCTAGAGCACTGGTTCTTAACCTTGGGTTACTCAGGACTTTTGGACTGCAGCTCCCAGAAGCCTTCACCACCAGCTGTCCTGACTGGGGTTTCTGAGAAATGCAGTTCAAAAGCATCCGAGTAACAAAGATTAAGAACCACTGGGCTAGAGCATCTGTATTTGGTAAAAAGTAGGGTCAAATGTTAATTAAATTTCATTATGATTTGTCAAGATGTGAGACTTACGTAATGCAGATGAAATCCATTTAAATGCCATGATTTGGATCCTAACTGTGAGCAGAGAAAAGCTTCCGCAAGGGTATTTTCTAGACTCTTCTCTGTACAGTTTCTAGCTTCTTCCAAGAGTTTTTTCCCCTAAAGAGTTGAAAGTGTTGGGGTTTCGTGTGGCAGAGTTTGGTAAGAGGAAAATTCAATGTGGCCTTTATTATTATTAATAATAAACATCCTGCCTTTTTTGCAATGGTTAAAAATGGTTCAGTCGGGAACCTATAAAGCAGATTGAACTACAGCATTTTTTGTAGGTCATCCCTTATTTGTTAGTTTAACTCAACTGGCACTTATTTATTTCAATACATTCACTCAGAGGCTCCAGTAAATTAGAAAGAATATTTTTTCCCATTTACTTACAATTCTTATATAAAAACAATCATAATATTTTGTAGAAATGTTTATTACGGTATATTACTGAACTTAACTGCTTAATGTACTTCATTATTAACGAACTGACTGGCTACACTTCTGACAGAACACTTCACTTTAACTGTTTACTACTGACTTCATAACTGACACACTGACAGAACACTAATTTCTCTACCTCAAATTTCTTCTTCCCACTTTTTTCCAGTTAGAGGTAGAGAAGGAAACAATTGGCTGCTGCTGAGTTGACTGACATTCATTGCAGCTCCCTCCCAGCCAAAACCTCTCACAGCATCAAATCAGGATGCAATATATGTAACAGAAATAACCTATGGGATGAAATGAGGGTGCTATTGGGGGACAGCTCCCTCCCAGCCAAAATCTCTCAAAGCATCAAATCAGGATGCAATATATCCAACAGATATAACCTATGGGATAAAGTGAGGGTGCTATTGAGGGAATTACACTGAGCTGCTTTGTGGAAATGAAATTCTAGTCTTAAAGATTTTGCCGTAAACTTCATTTTCACACTACAGAGGAAGCTGGTTGTGGTTATAACTTTTGTTCGTCCAAATAAAAAGGCATGACATTCTCTGTGCAAATGTTCGGGAGAGAAAAAAAGTTTCATTAGGTCTGATGTTACAAAAACCATTGGAGTGTGGAGAGTCTGAAATTATGGCAGTACAATCTTGATACTGTCTAAAGTTATAATGGAGGAGAAAGTCACAGACAGTGCAGCAGGTGTTAAGAGTTCACCCTGAACAGCCTCATGTTTTGTGGAGAACAAGAAAGGCTGTAAAACACAATAAACCTTAAATTTCTACTGTGAAAATAAAAACAACCCCCTTGCGTGCAGACTATGTTATTACATTGAATTGTAATTTTTCTAACATTATGTCAAATGAAAAGGGTTTTTTAAAATCTCTAAAGGAGATTTTATGTCTTTTAGTTGGCCTGTCAAAGATACTGGTATGATATGGATTTGGGAATTTCTTTTTCACATAACACATTTATCCTTTATAAAGGAATAGGTCAGACAGGGTTTGTAGTCACTTTCAGCAGAATTTTACTGGGTTTTATCAGTGTAAGAGGAATTGCAAAGCTACTAATGAGTGAGGTGACAGTCTCAAGTACATCATGCACCTAGTCATGCACCCAGTCACATGCCTGGCATATTCCTGGCACCTGGTTAATTAACTGTCACTAACTGTGGAAATTTCCACAATTTCTCTTGCAGGTCCTTAAAAAAGCAACAGGATTCTCCACGTCATGTCCAGGTTAGCTTGGTGGTACCACTGTGTGAGCAACATTTGTCATGCAGTTAATCCTGGAGTGCAAATAACTTTTAGATTCAACATCATTTACACTTTTTGGTAGCTGGCTGTATAGCTCAGTGACACACGTGTGTGTGTGTGTGTGTGTGTGTGTGTGTGTGTGTGTGTGTGAGAGAGAGAGAGAGAGAGAGAGAGAAATCAAAATTGAAGAGAAGATCTTAAATATGCCATGTAAATATGTCTACCTCCTTGCCAGGCTTCAAAATATTCAAGTAACATATCTTTATTGATCGAAGTGAAGTATAACAAAGGACATTATACTGGCACCTTCATTTGATTCCAGTAGCTTTGGCACCACAGTCACATTCCAACAACTCTGTCTGCAGATTAGTCTAAAATATTTTTCAGGATAGGAGAACACACTATAAATCGAAGTGACTAAAAATCTGCAGAGCCACTGGAGTTTCTCCTCAAAATACAAAACATGTGCTTGCAACTGCTTTGAGACAGATCACAAGATACTGGAGATAAACACAGTCTATGAAAGGTGAAGAAATGAAAAAATTGCCTGTAATCATCAATTGTGCATATGGAATTCAAATATAATTCCTATAGAGCAGGGGACTCTAAACTCAATTTACCTGGGGGCTGCTGGAGGAAGAATCTGGTGAGACTGGGCTGCATCAGATTTTCCGCCAAGCGGAGCAAGAGCCCAAGTAAGCCACCCAGGAGTTTCCTTAGCCCAGCTAGGGTTCTGAGGAGGAGGAGGGGCGCACAAGCCCTTGTCGCGGGCCACAACCCTCTCCAGCTCCTCCTTCACTACCACTACCAGCAGCAGCAGGACGAAGAAGCAGAGAAGGGAGGGAGCGCCGGCGACCACCTAGCGGGGTGGGGAGGAGGACACGACATATATTTTTTTTAAAAAAACCCTCACAGAGTTCTCTTTGCCTAACTGGTACCCGCGAAATTAAACAGAACGGGGCAGGGCCCCCACAGGTGCACACGTGCATGCACGCACACAAACAAACTCACACACAGAGGTCCAGCAACCTTCCTCTGAGGGCCCCCCTCAAAAAATATGCACTCAGCAGCAGCAGCTACCCCCACCACAACAGAGGAGCAAACTTTGTGAGGCGAGCCCAGGCAGCTTCCACAGCCAAGTTGGCTGAAGCAGGACAAAGAGGAGGAGGAGGTAGAGGAAGCACCACCGGGTGCTGAGGCAGCCGCTGGCTGGGCTGGTGCTGGGGGGGCCAAGAGAGAAAGAGAGCCAGAGAGCTGCTTCCTGGAAGAGACAGCAGCAGCTGCTGTTGGCGGCTTGGAGGCGCTCTTCGAGGATGGGCCGGGAGCGAGCTCCGCTCTCAGGCATCGCTTGGCGGTGGCTTGGGCGCTCGGGGAAAAGGGCCGGCAGCGCGCCTCACTCGCTGGCTCTCCCCCAGAACAGCGTCTTTTGCACCCTCCATCCAGAGCTGGACCACATGTTTGAGACCCCTGCTATCGAGTCTGTATTGTCCTTAATATAAATCAATATAGTACAAATCAGCTGCTGTTTAAGAAACATCTACCAAAAGAAATATCAAAGAATTT